TCTTTTTTTCTTGTTTATTCAGTATTAGGAAAACACAGCGTTAATGCAGATTAAGAAAAGTTAATGATGGTTCTACAAAACATGAGGAAGGGGAGGGGAGAGGGAGGAGTTTTTGACAGCGCACTTTTTCCTCAGAGCAACATCTATAGATGTATTGTAGATTAATTTCAGATTATGACAGCGTTGTGGCGAAAGAAAGAAAACCAAAAAAATTTATACACTTGTTGAATTATGGAGAAGTGAAATTATTGCACCAGTATTATCCAACCTCGTCTGGCTTCTTCTTTCTCAAAAGAAGCAGAAAAGCTATATAATCAGAGGATAGAGTAATGTTTTCCATACACTTGACGGATTTCGAAAAAAAGTCATCTTTGATAATCATACCTATTTTTATCATCATCAACAGCATTATCATAGTATGTGTAATTAACGGCGTGTCATCCAAAAGTCAAGCTTTTATCCTTTTTCTGGAAGTGCACCTGAAAAAGGAAGTTTCACTCAAATCACTTATCTCTTAATTTTTAGCATTTTTGTTGTAATCAGTTTTACGACTGCATACGTTCATCGCTCCTTGATTTACGATTTCGAGGCGTCAAGAGACCTTTCGAGTATACTCCATAAATTTCTTTCGTTTGTACTATAAACATAGTTTTTATAGTTTCTCCAAAGGCAGAATTCTTTATTTGATCATTCTTTTGTAAATCATTCTTTTGTGAACATTTTCACCGTGAGCATACTACTAATATGGTAAATTAGAACCTTCCCTATCCCTAATATCTATGGAGAAGCTACAGGTAAGATCACATGCTGCCACTGACACAGAAAGACTGGAGATTGCTCGTTGTGTCACCAAAAAAGCACATCAAGTGTTAATTTGGACGAGTTGTTCAGAAACAACAAAAATTAGAACCCTAGTGATGCATTGCTTCCTAATCTTGGATCATTTCCCGTGACACTTCCGCTACCATCAACTGCAGTTTTTTATATCAACCCCAAATTATGCATAACTTCTAAGTTTCGGTGAGCAGTTACTCAGGTGGTTGACTAGTATAAGTTGTGAGAGCTATGGTTAGAAAATTCAATAATTTTCTCGAATAAAAAATATCGACCGTATGTAGAATGTTTGATCGAATTATTCGAATATTATTCGGTTTGCTCTTTTGAATATACTTTTTTCCAAACATACGAATAGTGGGTTTGAATATAAAATCTTTGAATCATCGAATAATGGATATGATCGGACACAACATTTGAATAACAAAACAAATGCGTTTTTCCGAATATTCTATTATTCGAATTCCCAAACAATCAAATTATTCGAATATTTCATTTGGACAGGTTTTATTTACTTCCATATTCGGTAATTTCACACGTGTACGAAAGAACGAACTATTTATGGAATATTCGAACTCGAATTTAGGACTAACGATGTTTCGAAATATGCGATCGTTCGAAAAAAAATTTCAAATATTCATTTCAGATCGAACATCATAATCAATCACAAATATTTGATCTCAACTTTAGTGTGAGCCGTTCGGTATAGCTTCTCACACCAGACGCAGGTAAATTTGTGCCAAAGGCGATGGCAGACGTGCCGAATGTAAGCACAAATTCAACACGATGCTTCCTCACGCTCGCAGTCACTGCCATCCTCTCGCCTCTCCGACTTTTTTCCTTCTCTTCTGAGCACTCTGTCGGCGGCTCGGCTCCGAGAGAGTTAGTGAGTGTGTGCAGCTCTGCCGTCAGTGACGAAGCGAACTCAGAATTCGATTGCCTCCCTGGTCGACAAGATGTCCCGGGTGCACTCCATCCTCTTGTATGAGTGGGCATGGTTCACTTGAGAATCATAACATCCTCTCAATTAGCAATATCATTCTTTCATATTCTCGTTGGATATCGACCCCACCTAAGCGTTTATAATAAACTATTCTTTTAGTTGTTGCATCCTCTGTACAAGTTATCTTGAATCGCATACGTGGTTTTTGCAGCCGCCCTCGTAATTTGCAATTCTGCACAGTAACACTAACGTGGGAAATCCTCAATCAACCGCCATTTCTCCAGAAGAGCAATTTCAAATTTCTGCTTCTCTGCCAATCATCTCTCCTCACGCCCTCGCATGTCGCTCGGCGTAATCTCTTTCGCTACTTGAGCTGTTATTGTTCGAAAATACCCACATGCACATCAAACAAAGCGAGTTTCTTAGCTGGCACCCTTTAATAAACTTCACACATTATTTGATAATCTCTTGCCCATAGTTTTCCTTCTCCGGCTCTTAGAGTATACTACTCCTTCTACATTTGGCTTTTTCTGCAATTTTTCCTCTAACTTCCTTCTCATTCATAATAAAAATCATGTGAAGTTCGTAACAGCGAATCGTTGCGGTTACCTTCTTTCGCAGAGTTTACTAATTTGATGTATGGAAGAAATGACTAGAATGTTTTCGTGATTTCAAAGGCACAAACTAATTAAGTATTAACAGCGCTCTACATTTCCTGTGAAGCTACCCCTTTGAAATGGCCAAGCTTCTTCTTTTTCTAAATTCTATGAAAAAAAATTTTCTTGGCGCTTTAGAATTATAACTGTGTTGTTAATATCGCCATCTTTCCGATATTATATGAGAATAGAACGTATCACCTTGTGTACGCTAAAGAGAAATGCAGAATTAGCTGATGAAAACGTCTAGATTTGTTTTTTATTGTCTCTTGAATGGATTTTTAGGGAGGAAGCGTTTGGCGAGAGAAAATACTTATATTGCTGTAAATTGCTGATTTAGTTTAGGACGTTCCGAAAAACTTGGACTTCTTTGGCCTCGATATAATAGCTGGATGAGTTCATGGAAAGAAACTAAAATAATATGAGCGGGAAGAGAGCCTTGAAAAGTAAAGCTTATAAACGTTCTCTCATGCTGTCACAGTGGTCGTCATCCATGATGCGTTGAACGTGGTTCTCGCAAAAGTGTCGCCGACTCTTTGTTTTGTTCCTGACAGGTGGTTTTAATCTCTGAGTCTTACATTAAAAAATCCACGAATTATTTCTCTTTACATCAACATCC